CATACTTCACGGAACTACAACAATGCTTCAGAAGTTCATATGGAACCAAAAAAGACCCCAAATAGCCAGAGCAATTTTGAAAAAAAAAAAGGACTAAGTAGGTGGGATCACAATACCAGATATCAGGTTATACTACAAAGCGACTATAATCAAAACAGCCTGGTACTGGCACAAGAACAGGCATATAGACCAGTGGATCAGAATATAGAACCCAGAGTTGGACCCAAGGCAATAGGCTCAATTAATATTTGACAAAGGTTGCAAGAGCATATAGTGGAGTAAAGACAGCCTCTTTAATAAATGGTGTTGGCAAAATTGGATAGCTACATGCAAAAAATGAAACTACACCATCAACTTACACCATACACAAAAATAAACTCAAAATGAATAAAAGACTTAAATGTGACTCATGAATCCATAAAAATTCTAGAAGAAAATGTAGGCAACAAAATTTCGGACATCATATACAGCAGAATTTTCACTGATACATCACCTAAGGCAACAGAAACAAAGAAAAAAATGAACACATGGGACTACATCAAACTAAAAAGCTTCTGCACAGCAAAATAAACAACCATCAAAATGGAAAGGCAACCCTCTCCCCCTCACCCCCACTCTATCTGAACAAAAAATGGAAAAATGTCCTCCGGTGAGGATAAAAAAAAATGGAAAGGCAACCCACTGTATGGGAGAACATCATTGCCAATGATACATCAGATAAGGGGTTAATTTCCAAAATATAGAGTACTCATACAACTCAACAAAAGGAAGACAAAGAACCCAATTAAAAAATGGGCAGAGGAGCTGAATAGACACCTCTACAAACAGGACATACAAATGGCCAAGATACACATGAAGAAATGCTCAACATCACTAATCATCAGAGAGATGCAAATTTAAGCAACAATGAGGTATCACCTCACACCTGTCAGAATGGCCACCATCAACAAATCATCAAACAACAAGTGTTGGCGAGGGTGTGGAGAAAAGGAGACTCTAGTGCATTGCTGGTGGGAATGCAGACTGGTGCAGCCATTATGGAAAACAATATGGTGTTTCCTCAAAAACTTAAAAATTGAAATTCCATTTGACCCAGTGATCCCACTTCTAGGAATATACCCTAAGAAGCCTGAAACACCAGTCAGAAAGAATATATGTACCCCCATGTTCACAGCAGCACTATACACAATAGCTAAGATCTGGAAACAGCCCAAGTGTCCATCAGTAGACAAATGGATAAAAAGAGCAGTGGTACATATACACAATGGAGTACTATGCAGCTGTAAGAAAGAAAGATCTTTTATCCTTTGAGACGACATGGAGGGACCTGGAAAGTATTATCCTAAGTGAAACAAGCCAAGCAGAAGAAGACAAATAGTACATGATCTCACTTATATTACGGAATAGAATGAATATAACAGTCTGAGGAATAGGGTAGACCCAGAAACATAGAAGTAGGGTACAGAGTGACAACCCTCAGAAGAGGAGGTCCTGTGGGGTGGGAAGAGATAAACCACAGAACTTATATGCATGTATGCATAACCAATGGAGATGGAGAACAAAGCCGGGGATGGGGCGGGGGGAGGTGGAGGAGGGTGTCAATGGGGTAAAAAAGGATAAACATCTGTAACAAAAATAATATTAAAAAAATAATAAATAAAAAGGGTTTCAGAAAAAAAAAAAAGAAAGCAGAGGAAGCTCCACCTAAGCTGGCAGAACCATGCTCAGGCAGAATCGTGATTTTGCTTCAATAAAACATTATGCATGCCACTCAATTAGTTTAAATTCTATTGGCTATGTAGATTTTCTGTATTTAATTTATAGATTTGTTTTTATAGATGTTCAAGAATCATAAGGTTAAGTAGTGTACACCTATTTTAGATCGCATGTTTTTAAAAAATAATAATAAAAATTCTTTCATTCCAAAAAAATAAAAATAAAAGTATATGTATTTAATTAGTGAAATGTTTAAGTAAATTATAGTACATCATGCAATTCAATATTATACAGTTGTAAATAAGAATGAGGAAATAATGGAAAGACAATATACACTTAAAAAAAAGAGAAATGAGCAAAGTAGAGTGAAACGCATATAATATACCAGTTTGGTATGAAACAGGAAGCAAAAAATATGTACTTTTTTGGGTTTATTTACAAACAAATTGTGTGAAAGGACAAGCAACAAACTAATGTTTTGTTTTGTTTCAAGAGGAAGGAAACTATGGAAAAAAGGGAAGAAAAAGTTTTTATTTCATTTCTTTTTGATGTTTCAACCACATAAATGTATTACTACTCAATTTCAGTTCATGGATGAGAATTTAAAGTGAAGTTGACTTATTTAAATTTGATATATGACATGGAATTATATTTTATATAGGAGATTTCTGTTGTTTGAAAAAAGTAATATTTTAAGAATATTAATTTTGTAACATGATATGCAAAATAAATTGTAAGAGGGAGATGAAAAGCAGAGATCCTGTTAGAACTTGTTTGTCATACTCTAGGTATAGGGTAATAAATACCTAATTTAGGCTGGTGCCAATGGGAATGCCAAAGAACGACTAAGTATATGAGATTATGTTTAAAAGAAGCAATAACATAAGGATAAAATAAATATAATTAAAACAAAACTTTACCCAGGATGAATTCTGTGAAATCCTTGAGAATAAGGATAACAACTAACAACTCCTTCAAAAAAAAAAAAAAATGTTTTATTGATTTTTTTTAGAAAGAGAGGAAGAGAGAGAGAGAGAGAGAACATCAATGTGAGGGCTCCCTCCTGCCTGCCTCAAGATCAAGGCCGAAATCCGGGCATATGCCTTGACCTGGGAATGGAACCTGGACCTCTCTAAAAGGGTTAATAATGTTTTAACAAAATTAAACTGCATTCTGACTGGTTATTCCTGCACGTAAACATCCGAGCAGTTTTTTTTTTTTTTTTTAATTCTCACCTGAGGACATTTTTCCATATTTTGTTCAGATAGAGTGGGAGGGAGAGAGAGAGAGAGAAACATCGACGTGAAAGGGATATGTCGTAAAGGGGACACATCGAGTGGTTGCCAACCGCACGACCCATGGGGACAAATTGCAATTGAGGTACATGTCCTTAGCGGAAACAGAACCCAGGTTTCTCTGGACTGCAGGCCGACACTCTAACTGCTGAGCCAAACTGGCCAGGGCCCAAACAGTTTTCTAAAAAAACCTGAGACTGACACCCAGAGGAACCATAAAGATAAAGGGTTAATGATGGCCCAGACCTCTGCTGGAGCGGACTCCTTACCTCTGAGACAACTTGTATCAATTACGTGGTGCCAGGAGAATGTGGTTTTATTTTTAAATGTAGTGGTTTTTTTTTTAATTTCTATAGTTTGGGCCTATAAAAACCAGAGAACAAAGAGATATCAATGCTGGGCTCTTTTTTTTTTTTTTATCCTCACCCAAGGACATTTTTCCATGTTTTATTCAGATAGAGTGGGGTGGGGGAAGAGAGGAAGAGAAAGAGAGAAACATCGACGTGAAAGGTACACATTGAGTGGCTGCCATCCGCACAACCCATCCAGGGCCAATGGGTGGGGGACAAATTGCAACTGAGATATATGCCCTCAGCGGGAACCAAACCCGGGTCTCTCTGGACCACAGGCTGATGCTCCAACCGCTAAGCCAAACCGGCCTTGACAATGCTGGGCTCTTTTTTAAGGAGTCAGGCTGCCTGGACCCAGGCGTGTGCAATAAAGCCATTAGCTCTACACTGGCCTTGCGTTGTGGATGTGATCTTCCACAGGCTCGGACCTTTCACTCTCAGTCCATGGGACAATGCTCAATCCACTGAGCCACACCAGCCAGGCAACAACTAACAAATCTTAGGGTATGGAGAAAACTGAAGATGTCACAATTCTAAATAAATTTCTAAAAGTCAAACTATGGTGTTCAAATTACGATGTTTAAGTGCCCAAGATCAGAAACATTTGACTGGGGGCTGGGTGTGGGAGACACTTCACTGAGAGATATGTATGAAGGAAAATTATTTAAATGTCTTATTTTTTATGAAAATAAAGGGTAATACAATGATAGATTAAATAATGACTAAGTGGATAATAGGTATGTGTATATTTTCACATATTTTCTGGAGAAACTGAAGGTTAGTTACTGAGGTCATTTCTTTTGTTACAAACAGATGAATAGTTTGGAAGATGAATATTTTTCAGGAGCTGTATATGAGGGACATTTTAAGGACATTATGTTTCATGGACTAGGGACTTATACATTCCCAACAGGGGCAAAGTACACTGGAAATTTCAATGAAAATAGGGTGGAAGGTGACAGTGTCAAAGATATACCTAATATTTTGGGTGTTTAGAAATTTACACATTACTATATATCCAATTATAGAAAAATCAGATAAATAAAAATTAGAAAAATGAGCAAACCATTCATATTCATAATTCTACCCATCAATTTCTACTGTTAATGTTTTCTTATACATATTAAAAAATGTATTCCTAGGGATCTTTATGCTCACATTTTTAATATATTTTAATGGGCTCATGCTTTATCTTGATGTTTTGCTTCCAATATACTATCATTACAAATTTTTTTTGTCAATGCTTCCATACTACAGTCCAGAGGGATGGTATCATATGCTACAGCACCTATGGTATATATTTCCCACTAATTCAGTTCTAGCTATAAGAAGACAGTTTCTGTATAAAATTTCCAATTTTTACTTAGAATCATTAATATATTTTCAAAATAAACTTCCTTCAAAATGTCTTTAAAAGTATTGCATTCATACCTCTGATTTTAATTTTTTGAGAGGCCAAAATATTTTTAGAGATATTTATTTCTATTTAATTTTGGAATCAAGTTTGCTTATGGTTAAATTACAGAAACTGAATTACCCCTTAACTAAAGTAACAAATTTTACATCATAATAATTAAGAAAATAAAGCAGATTACAGTAGTGAGTTAGTAGAAGCCTGAAAAATACCACTCATGTGTACCTGAAGTGGGAGATTTGCAGCGCTCAAGTTCCAGGGGCACTGGACTGTCATTCAGCTCAGTTAAACCTGAAAATAAAATGACCAAAAAAATGAGATAAATTTTGCTAACACTTTTGTAGATAATTCTTAATTCCTGTAAAGTTTTAAGTTTTTCCTGTGAAAACTACTTTTCTATGCTCATGTATGACAATTTGTGTCAACCCTTTTAAGTTAAAATACAGTTGGCATAAGATATGTTAGTTTCAGGTGTGTAACACAGTGATTGATATTTATATACCTTACAATGTGATCACCACTCTAAGTTTAGCAACCATCCAATAAAGAAAAAAATATTTTTTTAAAAAAGTAACCATCTGTCACTGTGCCAAGTTATCACACTATTATTGACTATATTCGCCTGTGCCTTTTTTATCCATCCCTCTACTACTTTTCCCTCTGGCAACCATCAATTTGTTCTTTATTTCTACTTTGTTTTATTTGTTCATTTGTTTTGATTAAAAATAATTCAACATATACATGAAATCATGTGATGTTTGTCTTTCTCTGTCTGACTTATTTCACTTAGCATAATATTCTCTAGGTTCATGCATGCTGTTGCAAATGGCAGAATTTCTTTTTTATTGTTGAGTAATACTCCATTGTATATATGCCCCATCTTCATCCTTCATCCATCACTACATACTTAGGTTGCTTGCATATGCTAGCTATTGTAAATAATGTTGCAAGGAAAATAGAAGTGCATATATATTTTCAAATTATTGTTTTCATTTTTTCAGATAAATGCCCAGAAATGGAGTTGCTAGGTTGTATGGTGGATCTATTTTTATTTTTTGAGGAATCTCCATAATGTTTTACTTAGTGGCTGTATACATTTGCATTCCACCAACAGTGCAGAAGAGTTTGGGTTTTTTTTCCCCTCCACAGCCTCACCAACACTTTTTAGTTGTTGACTTTCGATAATAGCCATTCTAATAGGTTTGAGTGATATTTCATTTTGGTTTTGATTTGCATTTACCAGGTGATTAATGATGTTGAGTATATTTTCATGTGTGTGTTGGCTATCTGTAGGTCTTCATGTCCTCTGCCCATAATTTTATCAGTTTGGTGTGGTTTTGTTGTTGTGATTGAGTTGCATGAATTCCTTATATATTTTGGGTATCAACCCTTTATTGGATATATCACTTGTGAATATATTCACCTATTCAGTAGGTTATCTTTTCATTTTGTTGATGGTTTCCTTCCTGTACAGAAGCTTTATAGATTGATGAAGTCCTATTTGCTTATTTTTGCTTTTATTTCTCTTGCTTCAGAAGATATATCCAAAAAGATATTAAATAAGACTGATGTCAAGTGGTTTACTACCTATGTTTTCTTCTAGGGGTTTTATGGTTTCAGGTCTTACATTTAAGTCTTTAATCTGTTTTGAGTTTATTTTTGTGTCACCGCTTATTGAGGAGACTATTTCTCCATTGTACATTCTTGCCTCCTTTGTGATAGATTAATTGACCATATAGATGTGGGTTATTTCTAGTCTCCCTATTCTGTTCCATTGATTTATATGTCTGTTTTTGTGACAGTATCATACTTTTAAAAATTTTATTATTATTATAGCTTTGCAGTATAGTTTGAAATCACAAAGTGTGATACCTCCATCTCTGTTATTCTTTCTCAAGATTGCTTTGGCTATTCAGGATTTTTGTAATTCCATATAAATTTTAGGATTATTTGTTCTAGTTCTGAAAAGAATGCCGTTGAAATTTTGATAGAGATTGTACTAAATCTGTAGATTGCTTTGGGTATTATGGTCATTTTAATAATATTAATCCTTCTAATCCATGAGCCCTGTATATCATTCCATTTACTTGTGTCCTTTTCAATTTCTTTCTTCAATGTCTTATAGTTTTTTTAGTATGGTCTTTTACCTCCTTGGTTAAATTTATTCCTAGATATTTTATTCTTTTTGGTGCAATCTCTTTTTTTGATTGCTCATTATTGGTATATACAAATGCGACAGATTTATGTATATTAATTTTGTATCCTGCTACTTTACTGAATTCTTTAATTGTATTATATTTTTGGTGGATTCTTTAGGGTTTTCTATATATAGTATTATGTCTTCTGCAAATAGTGACAGTTTTCTATCCAATTCGCATGCCTTTTTTGTTGTTGTCTGATTGCTATGGCAACAACGGTCAGTATGATATTGAATGATATAGTGATGAGAGTGAGAATCACTGTCTTGTTTCTTAGAAGAAAAGCTTTTCAGTTTTCATCATTGACTATGAGGTTAGCTGTGGGTTTATCATATATAGCTTTTATAACTTTTTGGTAATTTTCCTAATTTCATTTTTGATGTGACTTCTGTAAAGTCCTTGGTTGTAAGACTTCGGTTCAGCTAGTTTTCGGTTGATTATTCAGATTTATTGTTCTATAATTTAGTTGTAATCCAATGTGGACCTGGGAGGAGGTGAGTGTAACTTCTACTTAATCTGCTGCCATCTTGGATGTCTAGCCTTTATCATTTTGAAGTAAGTTCCTTCTGTACTCACTCTTAGTTTTATATATAAGTGGATGTTGAATTTAGTTAAATACCTTTCTTTGCATCTGTTGAGATGATCACAGTTTTTATCCTTAGTTTTGTTGATGTGGTGTATCACAATGTTTAGCAGATATTGAACCATTCTTGCATCCCTGTTATAAATTCCAGTTGATCATGTTGTATAATCTTTTTAATGTATTTTTAACTTTGATTTGCTATTATTTTGAGAATTTTTGTATCTATGCTCATAAGAGATAATTGCCTGTAATTGTCATTTTTAGAAGTGTCTTTGTCTAGTTTTGGTATTAGGGTAATGCTGGCAAATTAGTTAGAAAGTGTTCCCTTCTCTTTAATTATTTGGAAGAGTATGAGAAGGATTGGTGTTAATTTTTCTTTACATTTTGGTAAAATTCACCAAGGAAGCCGGCTGGTCCAGGGCTTCTGACAGGAGTTTTTTATTGCTGCTTCAATTTCATTGGTAATAATCCTTCTGAGGAAATTTTCTTTTTCTTCTTGGTTTAGTCTTGGAAAGGTCTATGTTGCTAGATATTTATCCATTTCTTCTAGATTTTCCAATTTGTTGGCATATAATTATTCATAGTCTTTTTTAACGATCCTTTGCATTTCTTTGGTGTTGGTTGGATTTTCTCTTTCATTTCTGGTTTCCTTTATTTGGGCATTACCTTTTTACTTGATGAGTCTTGCTAGAAGCTTTTCAATTTTATTTATCCTTTCAAAGAACCAGTTCTTAGTTTCATTGGTCTTTTCTATTTATTTATTTTTCTATTAATCTTCACCCAAATATATTTTTTCATTGATTTTTTTTAAAGATAGAGTGGAAGGGAAGGAGGGAGGGGGGGAGAGAGGGAGAGAGAGAGAGAGAGAGAGAGAGAGAGAGAGAGAGAGATTGAAAGAAACATTGATGTGAGAGAGACACTTTGATTGGTTGCCTCCCACATAACCCTGACCAGGGCAGGGAACAAACATGCAACCAAGTTACGTGCCCTTGATCAGGAATCAAACAGGAGACTCTTTGGTCCACTCTAGCTGCTCTAACTACTGAGCCAAAAAGGCCAGGGCTCTTTTCTATTTTTTAAATCTCTATTTTGTTCATTTTCACTGTGGTTTTTATTTCATTCCTTCTACTTTGGGTTTTGCTGTTTTTCTTTTTCTATTTACATTAGGTGTAAAGTTACATAATTTATTTGGAATTTTTCCTGTTTCATGAGGCAGGCCTGTATAACTATGAACTTCTCTCTTACAACTGCTTTTGTCAAATACCATAAATTTTGGAAAGTTGTGTTTTCATTCTCATTCGTCTCCAGGTAGTTTTAAATTTCCTTTTCGATCTATTGGTTGTTTAGTAGCATATTGTTTAATCTCCCTGTATTTGTGTTTTATTCAGCTTTCTTCCTATAGTGACTTCTAGTTTCATGTCACCGTGGTTAGAAAATATGCTTAATATAATTAAAATCTTCCTGAGTTTACTGAGGCTTATTTGTGGCCTAGTATATGGTCTAACCTGGAAAATGTTCTATGTACACTTGAGAAAAATGTGTTTTCTATAGTTTGGGGATGAAATATTCTATACATTTTTATTAAGTCAATTTAGTCTATCATGATATTTAAGGCTGTTAATTTTCTGTCTGGACGATCTATCCATTGAGGTAAATGTGGTATTAAAGTACCCAACTGTTATTATATTACTGTTTATTTCTGCATTTCTGTCCACTAACATTGGGCTTTATATACTGCTCCTATGTTGGTACACAGATATTTTCAAATGTTATATCTTCTTGAATTGAGCCCTATATACTTATGTAATGTCTTGACCTTTTTCTGTGTTATTTGCTTTAAAATCTTTCTTCTTCTTCTTTTTTTAAGTATTGCTACCCCAGCCTACTTTTTTATTTGTTTGCATGAAATATTTTTTTCCATCCTTCCACGCCTGCCCACCCCCTTCCCTTTGAGGTTTGTCATTCTAACAACCAATTTGTACTTCTTAATCCCTTCACCTTTTTCACCCCTTACCCCAACCCTTCTCCCATCTGGCAACCAACAAAATATTCTCTGTATCTATGAGAATGTTTCTGTTCTGCTTGTTCATTTTATTTGTAGATTCAGTTGTTGATAGATTTGTATTTATTACTATTGTTTGTTCATATTTTTGATCTTCTTTTTCTTCAAGAAGACCCTTCAACATTTCATGTAATAATGGTGTGGTGGTGATGACCTCCTTTAGCTTTTTCTTGTCTGGGAAACTCTTTATATGTCCATTGATTCTAAATGACAGCTTTGCAGGATAGAGTAATCTTGGTTATAGGTTCTTGCTTTTCATCACTATGAATATTTCATGCCAGTCCCTTCTGGTCTGCAAAGTTTCTTTTGAGAAATCAACTGACAGTCTTATGGGAGCTCTCTTGTAGGTAACTAACTGCTTTTCTCTTGTTGCTTTTGCTGCATCCTTTCACTTTTAATCTGTGTGTGTCTTTCAACCTAAAGTGAGCTGCTTATAAGCAGCATATAG